CTATGGGGCTCCGCCGACGCGCACGCCTCGCGCGCGCGTGGAGCTCCCCTATAAATACAATAATTACTCAGGCTTACCATATTTCGAGATGCAGCTCCTGAAAGCTATCAAGTAAGGCCAGAACCGGTTGAGCCTTTATAATTCTCGCACGCATCCAGCAAGGTGAAAAACAAAAACGATGCCATCCGAAATCGGATTATCGGCTTTGACAAGCGACGCATTTCTCAACCAAAAACCCAATAAACAAACCAGCCATGAATAAGAGAACACTTTTGATAGCAGCTGTAGTTCATTTGGCACATCCAGTGGAAAAAGACAGTTAAAAACATCACAAGTTGACTCAAAACTCTGTCAGCTTCAGCTGTCAAAGTAAACAACTTTCAAGATGCTGCATAAATTTTACGCATGAACTCACCTGTGAAATTTTAACCAATCAGAGCATAAAAATTGGACTTGGAGCGTGAGCAACACGTGACCATGGTACTGAAAAGGTCTTCCCCGCCTGTATTTTAAAAAAACTGGCTGAATTTTTGCGTCTGAGGTCAGTTTGAAATCAAAATCGTAATAGTGCGGGGCGATACTGACATAAACACAACATATTTGATATGAATTTTTAAACAAGGTAAACGTTAGCCTGCAATCATTTGAAAACGATTAAATTGTCAGCAGATAACTTCAAAAAAAATACTCGACCTGGATGGGTCGACACCTGAGCCCGCGATACGGTCAGATGATACTGGTCAGCGGATACGCTGTTTTGACAGCTGTCAATTGATGACAACATTGATGTGCAATCAGCTTCCTGCTGGGCTCCCAAAGTAGCTAGAAAGTGTGAGAGTAAACATTGGTATGCCTGTGGTGCGGACGGACGGTCGCTCGGTCGGCCGGTCACGTGATTACCAAATTTTTTGGGATGGGTAGATTACCTTAGCTATGGGGCTTCGCGCGCGCCTGGAGCTCCGCTATAAATCAAAATCCATTTACAGTGTATGTTTACAGTCAAAATGACCGGCAAACCAAACATTTGTCCAGACAAAATCCTTGTCTTGGCTGGACATTGTCCATTGACCAGTGGTTATTTTAAGCCCCAGTAAATGTAACCAGCAAAACAAAATAAATGTATTAAGACATTTATACTAACTGTACAAAAAAATTAACATGGGTATGAATGAAAAGAAGACAATTTTACAGACTTGTTGACCTCTCTTTGTACCTGAAATATGAGGTAAGGACTTTGTGTAACAGGGAGTTAGCTAAAGAAAAGCTAAGCAGGCTTTTCACTCAACTGCTCCTTCAAAATAACACTTGATGTCTTTGTTTTTGGGAGCTATTTCAACAAGTGGTAAGCTCATTTTCAGCCAGGTGAAATACTCCACCAGCTGGATCGTAGAGACACATCTCTGTGTAAAAGTCTGACATTTTTAATGCCCTGCTGTAATTCAAAAACATTCTAATAAATGAATATTGGTGCTTTCATCACAGAAAAATGACAGACTACAAACACTTAATTGAATTTTCGGAGGGGTTTCGTACAACGCACTTAGTGATGGGATGTTCAGTTCACCCTAACTCAGTGTGTAACCACCAAAAAGAACTAGCCAACAGCCCGGGGGGGGGGGGGGGGGAAATTAGTGAATTTCTGGGGGGGGTTGGGCTGGGGGGGCGGTGGAACCCTACAACAATCCCTGGTTTGGTTAGCCTGATCTTTGTTCACTCTAAACTAAGAAGAGCACCCAATCTCCCCGATCACATAGAAGCANTGTATGTTTACAGTCAAAATGACCGGCAAACCAAACATTTGTCCAGACAAAATCCTTGTCTTGGCTGGACATTGTCCATTGACCAGTGGTTATTTTAAGCCCCAGTAAATGTAACCAGCAAAACAAAATAAGTGTATTAAGACATTTATACTAACTGTACAAAAAAATTAACATGGGTATGAATGAAAAGAAGACAATTTTACAGACTTGTTGACCTCTCTTTGTACCTGAAATATGAGGTAAGGACTTTGTGTAACAGGGAGTTAGCTAAAGAAAAGCTAAGCAGGCTTTTCACTCAACTGCTCCTTCAAAATAACACTTGATGTCTTTGTTTTTGGGAGCTATTTCAACAAGTGGTAAGCTCATTTTCAGCCAGGTGAAATACTCCACCAGCTGGATCGTAGAGACACATCTCTGTGTAAAAGTCTGACATTTTTAATGCCCTGCTGTAATTCAAAAACATTCTAATAAATGAATATTGGTGCTTTCATCACAGAAAAATGACAGACTACAAACACTTAATTGAATTTTCGGAGGGGTTTCGTACAACGCACTTAGTGATGGGATGTTCAGTTCACCCTAACTCAGTGTGTAACCACCAAAAAGAACTAGCCAACAGCCCGGGGGGGGGGGGGTAATTTAGGAATTTCTGGGTGGGGATGTGCCGCTGGGACCCTGGAACCCTTAACCTATACCAGAGCTAGTTCAGCTGAATTTTTGCTACCCTATACTAAAGTAAACTCCCCAAATCCCCCCTATCCTAGAGTAGCTGTTTTCCAGAAACTACTGAGGTCACAAGCACAGTCTAGCCAAAACAAGACCTTATACCACAATCCCTAGTCTAGATAAGATTCTCAACCAACTGATCAGTTTCCTGAAAAATGATACCCTATTCTAGACCCAAACACTCTGATTTATATACCCTATCCTAGAGTAAACTGCTTGAAAACCATACCCTTCACAGCGGCACATACCTATATAGCCCATATATGGCAGTACCCCCCCCCCATGGCCAACAGAAACCAAACAGCAAAAGTCATAAAAGAGACCACTGATGCATACATACCAAAATACATAATATAGGACATTATGATCATGTTAACTATAGTATGCTGATTTACCTTTATACACTGTTCGAGGAATTTAAAAAAAAGTACTGTTCAAAGTAATTGCTGCTAAAGAACAAGTTAATGCAGTGCTACATATGCACATAATTCACTTAGCAAGTAAGAAAGTGGATAACATGATGCACAAACACAAAGCATAAAAGAATGCTTTCAAAAATAAAATAGAAATTAATGATATTGTTTCACACCTGTGTTTTATATTTTTAAAACAAAAATGTTAATAATAAAATTACTGTCCATTGAGGGAAACTGCACCTGTAAGTACAGTACAACTAAAGATAACACACTAAATTCAACATAGTTTAGACAGGGTTTTTTGCTGCTATATGTAGAAAAAAAATTCATATGCTAATTGAGGATGACATCCATTTCATCCATTCACCAACACCCAAGTCCCAGTACCACAAGTACTGCTTGGCACATATGTACTGGCCTTGTGGACACACAGCCATCTTAATTTCCGCAATTCCAAGACCAGCAGAAGTTAACAAACTCCATCGTAAAGTGTTCCTGTTGTATCCAAACATGAACATGTAGAGGAGGAGTGTCGCTCAATAGTGGCTATACTGGAACATGGTAAGCTAGGATTCCATCAGCCAATTTTTTGAATCAACATATTATGTGTCCACACTGTCCCAACAGCACATAACCATAAAAATGAGTGATGCCAAAAAGTAGGTATAAAGAAAAAAGATGACAATAATAATTACAGTGTAATAGTTTCAGTATTATTCATAAGAAAGTAATACAGTACAGTTATGTTCACTGTTAGTAGAAACAGGATACAATGGATGCACTCATTGTACATGCAAGCATCAATTTCTGTTTATAATATTGTTAAAATAAAACTATTTTGTAGAACTTCTAGACCTGATACGTAGCTTTCCTAATCCAATGTGGAACAACAAATAAAACTAAAATGAATGAATGACAATCCTCATAAAGGTAAACTTAAACCACCTAATTACTGCCTAAATGTTTCTAGGGTCTACTCAGATGAAGCTAGACTGGAATTGAACCTGTTAAAGTCTTCATGGTTTCTGCAAAATTTATAGAGTGTCAAAGACTACTAATAATCTACTGACAGAGGCCCCTGAACTTGTGGAATACCTGCAACACTACGCCAGCTTCATAACAGGAGATTTCTCAACAGGGAAGTACAATAAAAAAATTGTTGCAAAGGTGTTTTTTTAATTTACATACCGGACTTTCAATAACATTCTGTAGACTTCTTGCAATATTTTATTACCTGGTATTCATTTGCTTACATAAAAAGCGGAATATAGTCACATACATGTAACCGCACATTATATTTCTTGCCGCTACGATCCTTCTTTAAATCACTGTGTACCTAGAATAGACCTTGTCACGGTTTTCGACGCCATCTTGACGAGTAGGCTAACGCGTGAGAAATTACAGTGTTTGTATGAGAATCTAATGTCGAATAATTTCCGTAAAACGGCTGTTGTGAAAAAAATATCAATTGTAAACTAAAGCTACAAAGCAAAGGATTGTCCTAAAAAATTTTGGGGGCGTACCTGTGCTTAAATTTCTCCAGAGCCTTGCTTTAGATTTTCCATATATTTGTCTGTAATTTTCCCGGGACTTTCTTACAGAGAAATGTATAGAAAATTTTAAAAGTGGTTCTAGGTCTTCTAGTGCATGTAACGCCCTCAAATTTTTTCAGGAGAATCCATAGGAGTGAAGCTTTAGTTTACAAATCATATTTTTTTCAGAACAACCGTTCTACGGAAATTATTCGACATTAGATTCTCCTACAAACACTGTAATTTCTCACTCGTTTGCCTACTCGTCAAGATGGCGTCGAAAACCGTGACAAGGTCTATTAAAATCAGTATATCAAACATATCATATAAAATATATAGTTCAACATGTTACGTTTACCCAATGCCCGTGTGTCAACACCTTGAACGACATTTATACAAAGTTATTGTCATCAGAACGAATAAGAAAGCAGCCCAATAGAGCATGTTTTTTTTAAACAGTGGGATCCTGCAGTTGATCCAGGAAGTCCAGTCCCATCTCTCATCCCTTGGCAACCGAGAGGTTCGACTGTACATGTCGTGTACCGTACATAACGCCTCTAAAGCAACGTCATCAAGATGGCGATAGTATGGTTCCTGGCGCCCTTTCCGAAGGGCGAGAACATTTGCACTTTCAAAGGTAGTTGTTTTTCTTTTTTTCTTTGACGTTTCCTCACTTTTGAACTTACTATTTATTCTCTAACAGCATTTTAGCGGACATCTTTACTTAAAGATCACGACTTCGACGTTTAATAATTTTAGTGGTCTTTTGCTTTGTAGAAGAACGCACAAAATGACGAGTTTAATACTAGCGAAATTACTGACGTATGTAACCTTACATCTACGAAGACAAATAACGAAAAAATCATTTCTTAACAGAGTTTTGGCCAATTTACATGAGATTCAAGCGAATATAAAACAGTAAATAGGGAGCTTAGCTTGCCACAAGTCGACCTCACGAGTTTCTAAGCGAGCTTTTTAGGACGCGAAGCGACTAAGCGAGCGACGAAGTCGTGAGAGGTCGACTTGTCTAGCTGGAAGGGTGTTGCAGGTCAAAATTATAATCAGGTCAAAATCTTTCAACCTAGATTGATTATCAATTTCGTTTGTCTCCTGGCCTTTGTTAATGAATGATTATGCATCAGTCAACTCCCTCCCCCCGGGCTACTGCGGGGCATTTGCCCGCCTTGTCAGTCCCGGGGGTGGGGCATTTGCAAATTTTGCGCGGCCCGGGGGCCGGGCATTTGCCAACCCCGGGGTTATTCCCGAGCTTTTGACATGTCCGCGGTTTCCTATCAGAATATAACTACACAGAGGACATTACGGAAAAAAAGCAGATTGGCTTATCTGTCAGGGACAGGGGGTTGTAAAGGCATGTTCTCGATTTTATGCATGCATTTCTTCATTGCTTATCACGCCAGAATTACATAGCAAAACTCGGAAGCTATCGACGTGAATCAAATTTCTGTTGATATTATTTAAAGAACATCCTTTTGTATTCATATCCTATTCATAACATATAACTTTACAGCACTCTATTAATTTTAATGTCAATAATTTTATATCAATACTAAAGCCATAAACTGGTGCATGTCTTTCCGGCCTGAAGTCTTAATTAGAATCCTAGTGCTATTACAAAGGAAGACGTTACTTGAAACAAAAAATCGCACTTAAAATGTTTAAAACGGCACTATTCGACTTTGCAATCAATGAGAAATGTTGCAGTGTTGACGGAGGACGGGGCATTTGCCCTATTTTTTCATCCCCACCCCGGGGGATTTGACAGCTCAAGAGTCCCCATGCCCGGGAATTTCCCCCCTAATGCCCAGGGGTCAGCCCAGGGGGGCTGGGCGCATCTGGAATTGATTGATGCATCAGGGCTAGGAGACAGAGGAAATAGGTTAAAAAATGTGTTGGTAATCGTTGAGGATTGCCTCAGGACTTCCAAACACTAGTTTCTCTTTCTGGTTTAAAATATTCTCTAGCTGTTCTTCTGAGCAATCGTCTCCCATGTACAATGCTCTAATGCCATGGGAATTGAGGATTGAGACCTGTTCTTTCATAAGAGAAATCAGCAGAACAATCACCAACATGATGGCATAGCAATCCTTGCCAAATAAATGATTGAAAGCGTATGGAGCCAGCTCAAAAGTCAGACTTTTCCCAGCTCCACGACCAGTTGGAGCAGACACAAAAACAACTCTCTGCAACAGATATGCTTTGATTGTTTTCCTCTGACAGTCACACAGTTCAGAAAACCCCATGGCTTCGAGAGCATCTTTTATTGCTTTTGCAATCAACCCCATGGTGGAATTTCAACCACAAGTCATGATACAGTGTGTCACTCACAAGTAATTATTACTTGTGAGTGACAACTTTAACCCTTGTTGTCCTAAAGAGCTACTCTGATTGGTCAAAGCATGTGCGACCCAATGCCAATCAAGTTTGAAAAATCCTTTGTCTCGCATCATATTAAATCGGACAAAGGACTTTTTTGAAAGTCTACAAAGATGGCAAAGGCAGCGAAAAGGTTGAATAAAAAGTGGATTTATGTTTTTTGAATCTGGCTGCATTGCGATTATTCCAAATCACTTACTTTGTAAATTGTAAGCGAGCTCCCCTGGAGTTCAAACAGAGAAAGAGAATATTGTCACCACTTGTTCATCTCCTCCATAAATCTTTAATTAATTAGGAAGTTTCATGAGATAGTTGTGCAGGGATGGCAAGGAGATGTACCGAAAAAAACTTGCAGAAGTGTTGTTATGATTATAGGTGCAGTTACACTGGCTGTTTTACCCGTGGGCAAAGAACAAATATAATCCTATGATAGTTCCCAAAGTAAGTTCTGTTGGTTAATAACAACCCAAAGCGGCTCATGCAATCATCAGAAAGTGAAATGTACCAAACTGTAAAAATCAGGTGTTGTATAATTGTGTGCTGTGTTTGCCTTGGTGCCAAATCCTAGGTAAAACTGGACTCAGAGTTTGAAAACTCTGGTAGGATTTTGATTGCTGTTGTGAATGTTTTCAGGTTTTTACATTTAATAATGTCAAAAGCACTGAGAAACACTCACACATTTTCTTTACCTCACTCTTCAAGAATTCTTTCCTAATGAAGTTGTTGCAACCATGTTTGTAAACCCGTACTTTTGACTTTTGAGCGAGATTTCCTTTTCTTTTAAGCCCGAATGAAGTCAACGTCTTTGTTTTAGTCTCAAAATTAAGGGCTGAATCACAACAACAGTTCAGTTTTATTCAAGAGAGGCGAGTAGTGTGTCTGAACTATATCTAAAAATCCTTTCAAAACTGTGTTTTCCTTGTGAATGTCTTTTTTTCCAGCCTTCTTCGTTCATTGTGATATTAAATGGCGAATACTATATGAACACACCTATAAACAAGACTTTCACCTAAAGGTTTCTTTTTACAACTTGAACTTGTCCGTTCCATTAGCGGCCAGAAAAAAAATGTTTATAAACTTAAGCATGTGTATTTTTAATCTGAAAGCGGGAGCCCATACATCACTCTTCTCAAGACTTGAAAACGTGCATCCTAAGTGACCGGAAATGCTCGATGTCACAAATCAGACAGTCATAAGGTCAAACTAGACAGAAAAACAATAAATAAGCAACCTCACCTGAGATGTAGCTCCTAGAATGCAGTAAATATTGTCAGAAATGTACTTTGCTGTAAAAGTCTGCATGAACTTTTAAAAAATGCAGTCATGTGTGAATCCTGTTTACGCGACACTTTCTTTAATCACCAATAAACAAACAATTTCATGTTGTGGCAGTATTGAAAGAACACAAAAAGTTCAAAACTTAAAATTACACAGAGTTTCATTTGTTAGTAAACAAGCTTCAAGAGCCGCAGAAGTTTTTAAGCATGAATTCACCTGTCAAGACTTTGAATAATCTGAGACTTACCTAGATGGGTCCTGGAGCGTAAACAAAAGCGTGACCAAGCTAAAACAAACGCTAAAAAAAAAAAATTTTTTTAAACTGTTTGTCATAAGTCAAACAAAAGAAAGTTAAAGAATTTTTACTGAAGCAACTCCATTGCTACCCTGCGAGCAGCGGCTACATTTTCGCGGTATGAGATGGCGTGCGAAAAGTAGCCTCTGCCGACAACCGTTCAAATCCTTGCAGAAATCTGGACGAATAAATTAAAAAATCGGGTTTTTACCTGTTCTTGACCGGTCTAGAGCATTGCGCGAGTCTTGCGTCAGCGAATGAACGCTGACCATTATTACGCCTTCATGCATCCCTTCCCGCCAAATTCTCGCATGCGAACGCGGCTCAAGCATAGCAAAGGAAAAAGTTCAAAACCATTTCAAAAATCCCTGTTTATGTATTTAGAGGAGCGTCGTCAACTTGAGAAAGCTCTGTATTTTAAAGCTGTTGGAATACCAAATCAAACTTGCTACCGGTGCTTCTTACGGGACAGGGTAAAGATCGTTAATTTATCAGATGGTAGTTCTTGTTTGCCAGGAAAAGAAAATGGATACTGGGGTGATTTTATGTGTCGCCTCTCAATGCAAGGCTAAATGCTCTGTTTTAAGACACAGACGGGAACCGGAGAGTTCAAAAGAATCATCGATAAGTTTTCTTTTAGTGGAAAAAGAAGAAAAGCAGCTTTTAGCTGAACAACGATTCGCCCTCAAGGACTTCAAACTGGTTGGTTAATCTTCACTGTTGAACGCTTGTCCTGTTCTGAAAAGAAGCCAAAGCGGCAACGTTTTTAAAGATCTTCAGGTACAATTTGCACATTAATGGTCAAGGAAATTCCCTTTTTAAATGGAAATTTAAGTGTATATAGTTGTGTTATAGATGTTTTATACGATTTGAGACGGATTTTGGCGTTGACATTTGATGTCTTCTTCCGCTTTTACTTGCGTGAAAGGATCCACAACCCAGTTAGTGTTACCCGAATTGCTTTTGAGGATAAAATTATGGGTTTTCGAATAAAATGTTTCGATAAATAATTTCTCTGACTATTGTTTTGTCTATGTTCATTCATAACATTAGTTGAAAACGCAATCGTGAGACTGCAGCATCCAATTTATTTCACGCATCACTTCTGCGTAGGGTTGTCGGCGAATTTAATTTTTTACTTTGAGCAAAACTATGTTTTACTGGCAAAGCTTGTTATAGATTAAAAATAAGAAAATTTTCGAAAGCTCATTTGCACCTTCAGTTAACTGCTTAAATGATCATGAAACTACCGTTTTTTGAAATGAAAACTTCCTAAAAACGCACCAGTGGAATTAATAATAGTAATTAGTTAATAGTCGTTTATGGGTTAAACCAGCGCTCCATAAAACGATTCAGAACATTTTCCCAGCTTTTTATATAATAGCATCAACGCGTCTGTAGCAGTTTTTACAGGGGCGTTAAGATGGTTTAACTCTAGCCAAGAGATCATAATATGATCTCTTGCTCTGGCTTAAAAACTTCTTTAACATGAGTGTATTACCTGTACCAATAAGCCGGAAAAAAAAACTGCCGTTTGGAGTTAAATGTGCTCCCCTCAAATCAGACAGGACTTGCTACAGGTGGTAGCGTAATGCTTTCTCAAAAGACGATCCGAGGAAATTTTGCGGACCAAAATACTTAAAACCAGACGTGCACAGCAGAAAAACAAAACAAAAGCTCGAGGAGATTTTTTCGCAAGTAGTTTTCGCCATTTTGATTCCCGCGAAACTCACGCAGATTTGACGAATCAGTTGCTTGCGAATCGCCTGACGAATTTTGCGCATGCACGATAGAAAATTGAACGGTTGTCGGCAGAGGCTACTTTTCGCTCGCCATCTCATACCGCGAAAATGTAGCCTCTGCTCGCAGGGCAGCATAGAGTTGTTTCAGTAAAAAATCTTTAAGTTTCTTTTGTTTGACTTATGACAAATAATTATAAAAAAATATATTTTTTTAGCCTTTGTTTTAGCTTGGTCACGCTTTTGTTTACGCTTCATGACCAATCTAGGTAAGTCTAAGATTATTCAAAGTCAGGGTACTCCATTGCATGCCTCTAGGTGAACTGGTTAACATTTCCCCAAGAAACAAGCAAGCTACATGTCTCGGACTCTGCTGTCCCCTCCCTTGCAGAGTCTCCACTGCGCCGCCCTGACAGTTTCTCGAGCGAGTAGGCGGGGGTATGCTGATGTCATTTCCAAATTTTCATGCTTCAATAGATGTCCAGTTTCCATAGGAATGAAGGCTCCGCTGCTAAACCTATTGCTTTTTTGACATTCTTCTTGCCATCACCGTTGTCTTAACTCGAAAAAAAAAATAAAAAAGATTCATAACTTTCTTATTTTACCTATCCCAACTGGGATATTCATTTTTTGTGGATATAACACTCTCCTACTTTGTAAACTTTTTTATGCTTCTTTGGTCTTTGTCTTCGTCCATACGTCATTAATTTTGAAGGCGTATTTAATAGTCATTTTCCGTGACTGTGCAAACTTGAGAGTGCCAGGATTTTTCATTGAACACTCACTATTATTTGAGATGTGTGTAATTTTTACAGTAACAACCCGTGTGTAAGAACCAACATATTTTGAAGTTTGGTAAAAATGTTCTTGTATTGTGGGGTAGTTTTTGGTAATTTAGCCAAAGTAGGTTCTTAATGGCGGAGCTCTACGCGCGCGTGAAGCGCGCGTGGGTGGAGCCTCATAGCTAAGTAAGTCTACCCATCCCAGAAAAGTTGGTAATCACGTGTTCGTACACTTACCGAACGAACGTCCGTCCACACCTCAGGGAAACCATTGTTTACTGTCACACTTTCTAGCTAGTTTGGGAGCCCGGGAGAAAACTGATTGCACGACAATGTTGTGATCAGTTGACTGCTGTCAAAACAGGGTATCCGCTAACCAGTATCACCTGACCGTATCACGGGCTCAGGTGTCGACCCATCAAGGTCGAGTATTTTTGAAGTTATCTGCTGACAAGTTACTAGTTTTCGAATGATCGCAGGCTCAAGTTTATTTTTTTAATTCATATGAAATATGTTGTGTTACAGTAATGTCACAATGGCCCCGCACTATTAAGATTTTGATTTCAAACTGACCTCGGACGCGAAAATTCGGCCAGTTATCTAAAAATACAGGCGGGGAAGACTTTTTCTTACCATGGTCACACGTTGGTCATGCTCTACGTCCAATTTTGTTGCTCTGGTTGGTCAAAATTGGACAGGTGAGTTCATGCGGAAAATTTATGCAGCATCTTGAAACTTGTTTTCTTTGACAGCTGAAGCTGACAGTGTTTTGTGTCAACTTGTGATGTTTTTAACTGTCTTTTTCCACTGGATGTACAAAATGAAATACAGCTGCTATCAAGAGTCTTCTGTTATTCATAGCTGGTTTGTTTATTTGGTTTTTGGTTGAGAAATGCGTCGCTTGTCAAAGTCTGAAATCCGACTTCGGGTGGCATCGTTTTCGTTTTTCACCTTGCTTGATGCGTAAAAGAGGGTTTAAAATCTCAAGCGGTTCTGGCCTTACTTGATAGCTTTCAGGAGCTGCATCTTGAATGGTAAGCCTGAGTAATTATTGTATTTGATGTTTGTTTGTTATATCTAATTTCATGAAGTCGAGCACAGTTTCTGCGGCAAGTTTATGCGCGTTTGTAAGATTTGACACCTAGTATCAGGTTTAATATAAGCTTACGCTGCTTACAGAACTTTAAAAAGCCTTTAGATATATTTTCTCACCGCAAATAGAAAGAAAACGTTCCGACGAATATTAGTTATGAATTTGACTGTAGGAAGAAAACTTTGAGCGATTTTCTTGCCTCGAGTTTACCTTTGAGAAAAGCAAACACCGGGAGGCCGGCTTAAAACATAAACTTAAGCTTTAAGCTTAAAGACTCAGAATTTTTAGAGACACTTTGATAGTTGTCTTCGTGAATGAAAATTGTTGTCTCTGTAACTGTTTCACCGAATGATATTTCTTTTATTGATTGTTAGTAGTCTCTCTTGCAATTTTAATCGCTGTGCCGTTTGTTTTGAGTCGTTCATACATGACATCGCTTGCACGAGTACTCAAAATTCTGCGCATATCAAATGCTTTTTAAGTTCACACATCATTATAAAACCATTAAATAAAAAAGTAAACGTAATAAATTCTTTATTATGTTGAAGCGTAACTCTATTAATGTGTTCATTCAAACACAGCAATCAAACGTGTGAACCGAGTGGCCGTTTTTTTTATAGGTGATTTTGGAATTTTTTTGAACGGTTTCGCTAAAAGTCCACAATGATTTGATCGTCCTGAATATTAACTAAGTATAATTTGTCTTAAAAAATTGTGAAATACTGCATTCTGTTCGAGGTCTGTATGATAAATAGTACTGTTTCACCTCAGGTGTGATGTATAAAAAAGTATAAAAGGTAGGTTTACACACCCCAAGATTTGCTGGCAAGATTTAATTTGTAAAGTAAACTTGTCGAACGCAAAAAATTCGGCCTGATTTTTTTTCCGAGAATTTGTTTTCCTGGCCTAATTTGCTATGATCAAGAGCCATTATGGCTCTTGAATGTGATCGAAGATGATTGCTAGTTTTTAAGTGTACAAATAAGGATATCAACTCGACGTAAGATGTTTCACTCAAAAATCACAAAGCCTTTCCCTCAAAAGTCACATGAATGTGCCCTTAAGTTAACTGATTTGTTTTTTACAAGTTTATTGTTTGATTTAAATTTTAAATTTATTAATGGGAGCTTCGCTTTTAGCCCTGGCTAAATCTGTATATTTAGGTTCTTGAAATGTAAGTATTGTATTCACTATCTCCTCTATGCTGGGAAATGCCCATCTTTACTTTATATTTTTGTTTTAGAAATTACAGCAATACTTAACTACAGTTTGATGCATTAACAACAACAACAACAGCAAAAATGTGTTGTAAGAATTTAACCTAGGTAATTACACTGACCCACAGGTAGCAAATGCTACTCTAGGTAAGACAGACGAACAACTGAGGGTTAGCTGTTTTAAATAAGCATTATTACATTAAGACAGAGTTTAGGAAACGATAACGTTAGAAATGTGAGACAAAAATCAGTTGAAACTTTAAAAACCTTATTATTTAGCCAGTCCGACTTTTTGTATGAGGATTGGTGTTTCTAAACAGTGATTTTCCTCGATTAAAATATCCAGGAGAAGTTGGCAATTTCTCTTTTAACATGATTTCTTCTTGGGTAAATGTTGCAAGCTATACGGTATCTCTTTCCACAGTTTTACGCCAAATCTGAAAAATGAACGCTTATATATCTCTAATCAAGAGCCATGGCTCTTGCTCTAATCTAGTACTTTGTACATGTTGGAGTTAATTTTTATTTTTCTATTGTTTTGGGGTATGGTAATGCATGCTAATGAATTTTAAACAAAGGAAAAACAAAAATTAAGAAACGGTCCAGATAAGAACGGTAGCAACAACGGCAACGAACATGTTGGAATGCAAAAAAGGTGCTAACTTTACTATTGTCTGTACTTACGTCTGATTGGCTTAAACAGCAAAAGTTAACAAAACTTCATAAAGCAGTACATATATTCATCCTTACTTTCCAACCATCTTCCATATAACAAAATCTGGTCTCAGTTTGAATAACAAAGAAATCCTATGTGGGGAACATGTAAAATTGTAAACTTTTCTTGGCTATTGTTTTCAACTCTTGTGATTGGCCAAAATCTTTTAATACAAAAAACACCTTTCAAAGTAGAGTGTAAATGTATTTTATTGGTTAAACGGCCTTCATGTAGGTTTATGCATTCTCTGTGTAAAAATGAGAACATTCCTATGTGGGGAAAGCACCGTTGCCTCATAACAAAAGAAATTGCTATCCACCTTACCCGGATCACTACTTAACTGAAATAGAAAATTAACTGCAACATACATAAAAATTCCCGGAGGTGGATGATCCGTGTTGTATGTGGTATGCTGGTGGTTTTTTAAAATAATTTAAAAGATATTTAAAGGAGCGTTATTATCATTATTATTGATATCATACATTAAGTTGGAAACATACTTGTAATATAGGAACGACAGAGGCAGAATATTCGCATTAACAAAAAGAGGAATTGTGTGATCGTGTCTATCGCAAAATATATCATACAAAGGGCTCTTTTTTGAAGAATTAACAGATGCATCTTCAAAGACTCGCCCCAGTCTCTGAAGTTAATGTCCTTAACAGCGAGAGTCTGCAATTAAATAGTTGTAGTTTAGTTAAGTCAAACTTCTATAATTTATTGCAGACATTTGACTCCTTTCATTCGGCTGCCGTTTCTGTGGGGTGTTTATAATAGATAATAAGTGTTCGCAAAGTGAGAGTTGACTCTCAAGTGAAAAGGCCGTGATGTCTTCTCCACCATTTGAAGTTAGTATTTGTTTTTATTTTTGCCCAGATACAAACTCACATTGACCCTGTGACAAAGTACAAGTTCTTCTACACTCTTTGAGGTCACTTTTGGAACCGTCCTTCAAGATGTCATCCAGTAGATTGGGTGAAGGATGTCGAAAAATGTTTGAGTATAATAATACGCAAGACAGAACTTTTAGATGTGATCAGTGCTCCAAGTATTTTAAATGTAAAGGAAATCTACAGCAACACAAAAGAACCCATACAGGCGAAAGACCTTTTAAATGCAATTATTGTAATAAGTGTTTTAGTCACAAAGGACATCTCAATGAACACAGGAGAATTCATACGGGTGAAAAACCTTTCCAGTGCAACCAGTGTGACAAGTGCTTTACTCGTGGAGCTGTTTTACGACAACACGCACGAACTCACACAGGAGAGAAACCATTTCAGTGCAATGTTTGTGGCAAGCGCTTTAATCAGAAAGGTCTTCTGAACCAACATGCAAAAACGTACTCAGGATCGTGCCTCCTTAAAGAAGTGAATTTTGGTGGAACATCTCCTGGTGAAAAGAAAGTAAAAAATTTTGTATGCAACAACTGTGGAAAAAGCTTCAGAAACAAAGCAAATCTCAACCAGCATAAAAGAACTCACACGGGTGAGAAAGAGTTTAAGTGTGACCATTGCCACAAGCGTTTTAGTCATAAAGGACATCTCAATGAACACAAAAGAATTCACACTGGAGAGAAACCGTTTAAATGCAATCATTGTGACAAGTGTTTCAACCGAAAAGGTCTTCTAAAGCAGCATCAATTAACATATCACTTGCTGCATTACCTTGGAAAAATGCCGGTGACACTTCCAACGACATTTGCAGTAGAATGTTTGAGCAGAAATCATCCTGAAGGGGTTGATCAGCAGACAGTAAGCCTACAGCAGAGTAAAAGAATTGATAAGCAACAGCAAGCATTGTGCGGCAACCATGGTACAGACTTAGAAACACAAGTGGAAACTATAACCAGTACCAATAAAGAAGTTGTATTGGCAGAAGAGTTGTGTAAGTATTGGTGGGATTTTGCATTTGGTCATTTTGTAAGAAACTTTAAATTTTTTCGCTATCATTTTGTGGTACAATATGCGAGCCAGCGAGGCATGCGAGGTAGACGTGCAAGGTATGCGAGATAGACTTGTGAGGCATGAAGAAAACGTGCGAGCCGTGAACCAAATACTAAGGCAGAGCTGCACCAAACACGTATGGAAGTGGTACCGGTAGTCGTTGGTGCACTCAGTGCAGTCAGCAAAAGATTGAATACATGGCTTGACAAGCTGAGGATTACCATTAATACGGGTTTGCCGCAGAAAACAGCTTTGTTGGGAAGAACAAGGATCTTTAAGGAAGGTATTGGAAAGTTGAAGGAGAAGAGCTAATCCAAGGGATCTTTGGCCATTGGCTATGGCTCCCTCCCTTGGTGTAATGTCGGTACAACATCCACCAGAGCTGAAGCATTTCGTTTATGATAATAATAATATGTCACGGTTAAACAGTCGTTTATTGATCGTCAAATTGTCGGATGCCAGTCATTCTCTCGTAGTTAGTTTTGCTTGAGTCTGTCAATAAGTCGTTTGTACGGTGCCAGTAATTGTTAACTGCGATCACCCAGACCATCATATTCAACCTACTAATGAAATGACTCTTGGGTTCAAATCTTTCCCAGTTTTATGGTGATTAAGTTAAGAAAATAATTAGGGCTTGACCGTATAGGCACTTAAATGTAAGGAGTATAATTTAAGCCTATGTAAAGCCAATGAAGGTGGTAAAGCAAGGGTGAAACGATCTTGGTGATTCTGTGACTAATCCAGCCGCGGCATTCTGTATTCGTCGGAGTTTAAACAACGTCTGAGAAAAACTTTAAGGAGCCCCCCTTCATATCATATTGCAAGGGAAAAACTCTTTCAGGGTCAATAGAGAGTTTACGATTTGCAGGAGTCATCCAAAATCTTTTTTTAATGAGTTGGTGTTGCCTCGCGTATTTTCAGATGCCTTGCATGTCTGTTTCGTATGGCTCGCTGGCTCACACATTGTGCATCCCCAAGGTAAGACACTCTAAATAAAATAATTTTTTTTATTTGAACAGGCCAAGAGAGCATTGGCGTGTTGCCTTCTTCCTTGCAAAGGTTGGAAACACCTGAATATGCCACTATTAACGAAATGCACAAAGGTCAAGAAGAAAACACAGAGGACAAACAATGGTTACCTTCTATGGAAGATGTTTTAGGAGAAACTGAAATCCCTCACACAAGGGTGAAACGTTTTGAGTGTAAGCAGTGTGGTACAAGGTTTAGCCTGAGAGGACAGCTTAAACAACACAAAACAACCCACGCAGGTGAAAAGCGTTTTGAATGCAATTTCTGTTTGAAGCGTTTTAGTCACAAAGGGCATTTTAATGAACATAAAAGAATTCACACAGGAGAAAAACCATTTAAATGCAACGAATGTGAAAAATGTTTCAACCGAAAAGGACTGCTCAAGCAACATCAGAAATTAACACATCAGCAGTTCAAGGGTGACACAACTGTACAGGCTGGAAATATACAGTCAAACAAATATGTAGATAAATGGCAGGAGTCGTTGATGTGCACCTTTGGTGACAAGTCCAAAGATCAAGTGGTAATTGCAAAAAAGGAAACCAAGACAACAAATAAGACAACTAATGATCAAAGTAAGTACACTCAGCTCTCTTCTAGCGACCCCTTCTCATTTGCGACCACCTCACCGACACGTAAGCAACCACTTTGTAAATAACCGTTTCGTTTCTCAGTCGAATACTGTTTCAAAAGCTCTCTTGAGAGCGACCACCCGGCATAATTAACTCGAATGTCACAAAAGTTCAGGCCCCGGTTGTTCAAACGTTGGATAGCACTATCCACCGGATAAATCACTATCCAGCGGATAAGTATTACGGAAATAAATTACGCTATCCGCTGGATAATGATTTATCCGGTGGATAGCGCTATCCAACTTTTGAACAACCTAGGCCTGTTGTTTAAATAACGCTGACCAAGCGCGCTGACAGAATACGGAAACAAAAAAGATGGCTGTGATACGATCTGTGAATTTCCAACAGCAGTTCAAGGATTATTCGATGTGAAACATTATTGTCAGTCGTCTATTTGTCTGTTCTTCGCTTTTAAGGTAATAACTTAATGCTATTACTTTAATCAAGTCAGTTGGAGCTTATTTTCTTGATTTTTCCCTTAGACGACCACCTCCCTTAAGAAACCACTTTGTGAGTAAGTGTGAGCACACTGGCAGTTCTGTGAGGAATTCACACCTCCGTCAGTGGGACGAACGCCAATGCTGCCCGTGGCGACTATATCAAAAGGCCAAAAAAAATTATCAAGAAAAATACTACCCAGGTATAAAATGTAACTGTGTACAAATTTGAAGACTTCTTTATTCAATGACCGAATAAAATTTTTCTTGATTATCCCCTTTTGGTTTGTGATATACACGTCGGTGTATATCACAGGCACTGGCATCATCATCGTTTGTCCCCCCGGCTGAGGTGCGAATTGCCCGCAGAACTGCCGTCCGTGCTCATTTCGTCATGATAAACAAAGATGCTCGACAGTTCTACCTGAGCTCTAATTCAAGGTAGCTAGTAATCCCAATACCTATAATATATGGATTAAGCCAAGGCCAAAAGCGAAGCTCTCGAGTGATCTTTTACAGCCGTTTCGGATAACACGCGACCTGCAGTGTCAAAAATCTGAAGGCTAGGCGCTTTCTAGCGGACCTCCCAGGAAAGAGAAGCTTACTTCAAGGGTTCAAAAGGTCATGGTTTTTGATTTGTGGTTGGTGGATCTCGATCTGTTTTGTGTTTCTGTGTTTCAAGGTTCGTTGCTTTTGAACTTCAGAGTTCGCAGGGCCGTAGCCAGCTTTTTGACATACTGTAGGCCTGTTCCCTAAAGGTAGCGTCTAAGGGACCGGATAATTCGCTGCAGGTTTATTTTTTCTTTCACACAGCCCGATCGTCAAGCAGATCTTTATTCTTTCTATTTCTGTCGATTGTATTCGTCGTTCTTCGATAAATCTTAAATTACCGATCTCAGGCGATCGGGATCTCCATTCAGGATCTCCATTCACGCAATCTTAACATCGAATAGCAGTGGTTTTGAAGCTCCTCATTGTGTACTTGCGTGGAAGCAGCGCTGACCTGATACTAGATGAGGAGATTTTTGTCGGATGTTAAGATATTTCAGCAAAGCGTCACGGGGTGCACTACAGTATCCAATCGTGTGCCGCCTTCAGGTCCACCACAAAGCTATGAACACCAATTCCAAGCAGATATTACTTTGGATAGGGTGGCAATTTTACTTACCTCTCTGGCGTTTTTACCTAATGACCCCAGTCCGCGTGTATGGAGGCAAGTGTTGCTCGTATAAGCCATCGAGTTGGTACTTGCAGAAGCGTCGATACCAGTTCTATCAGGAACAAAACATACTTCAAAAACCGTTCCGACAGACGTCGCATATTTAAGATGTTCAGCATGTATATTTTCTCTGTTCTTTTGCACTTGCTCACTTTAACCCATCCTAGATATCCGACCAGTTCGTTAACTACGTGTCGATAGTAAGTTATTCCTCTGGGAGTAGTATGTGTGGATACCTCCCTAGATGCTCCAGGTTCGGATGTGTTACATATCCATGGGGACCAAAATGTCAGGAGAAGTGCTCTTCTAATTTGGGAGCCCCTTTAAGTGGCTCACTTGACCGTCCCAAAGATGTGTATTTTTTCATCAGTCTTAACTCTTCTCCCGCTTTCCGTTGCTCGCTTGCAAGGTTTAGTTAGTCTGCCTTGATGTAATAACAAGCGTTCTTCAAATGATTACTGAGTTTTTTGGCATGCTCAGCCAGTGCCTTCCTTCTCGCAAGGTCTCATTCATCGCGGTTGTTGGTCCGTAGTTCTTCATATTAAATATTCTTGCTTGAACCAGGCCTTGTCGACATTGGTCTTTCCTCTTGAAGGAATTGTTTGCTTAGAAGCTTGTTGAATCGATTTCGGACAAAATCCTTAACTTCATTACCTGCTAAAAGCTTGGTTCAGGTGCCATGACCCAATCAAGTTTAGCATTGTGACGCGTGTTGGCGCTTCGTCTCTGAGATGTAATATCACATAACATCTCAGCTAGTAGACCCTAGTAGATACTAGTTTCTTGGCAAAAATGCACTCGGTCTTCCTCGAAGACCACACTTCCATCACGATAATGCGATGGCTGGATTCAATCATCATCCTTATGGATATGCGTAAGTGCATGTCCACCCGAGCGATCTTCTTTCATCATTGACCTCAAGTAAACTTTAAGCTCTCAATGCACTCTCGCTGTGAGACTTCTCTGCAGATGATGGGAGGGTGAAAACGAATGGGTACGTTCCCGCCAACATTTAATTTTGTAGCTTCTGCTCGTTGTTGCCGCCTTTATTTGACAATCAAGGATTAATTGCTATGGTAACGGTTTGATTGACGTCGAAGAAAAACCCGAAATCCTGAAACGTTTTTGACAACGCAGGTCGCATGTTATCCGAAACAGCTGTAAGAAATGTCTTTCTCAAGTAATTCAACTTTTGCCGTAATCAAGAAGCAAGCTGAATTCCACTCAAAAATTGGGCTGAGCCCGCGATCAACTGAAAACTCATAATAGTCGAGCCATATGGTGAAAAAATTGTGCACTTAGGGGTAAAAGCACCCAATTTAGCGTGATAATAGTATTTGGGCCGCTGAACATTATTAGCTATGGACCCCAGTCAGGGGGGGGGAAGTTTTGTACTTAGGGGGTGGGGTGGTTGCAGTTTCCAAATAAATTGCTGTTCCTGAAAAGAAAGCGGTAAAATTAGGCTGAATTTTGGCATAATTTCAAATCATTTAGCAAATAGCTTCTCCTCTGACCTCATCCCTAATTTCCATGGTAGTGGTGGTGGTGGTGGTGGTGTAGGGGGGGGGGGAAGTTTTCGTCCTAGTGTAGTAAGCGCATGTTTTATATATTATCAGTACATCAACCTGCAGAAATGAACTACATGATCTAAGGCACTGTTTTAGGTTATTTTTAAAATTCTTAAAATCTGCTAGTAACCGTTACACCATTTATAACACAACTTAAATGTTGTCAAGGATGTTAGCAGCATTTTCAGTCCTTCTCTACTTTTTTCATTTATATCACAACTGTTATTTTAATCGCATCCAAGGTAGCCAGTTTATGTCATTGAGCTAGATCCTTATTTTGTGAAGGCAATGAGCTTAATCCTCTCAGTCTCGCATTCTCCACAAAATTTGCAACGCGTAAACATTTTAAATGTCCTTTTCAACTTCGCTCGGCTTTGCATTAGCTCCTGCCATACCTTTGATGCTCACAGTAAGGTGGAGCATACAGGCTTCCACGCATCTGACTCTTACGATTCCCTTGATCTTCCCCCATTCAAAGCACTGTCTTTAACAATTTCCATCTTTGTAGGCAACTCTCTTAATGTACTGAAATAATACATGGTCAGTAGACAGGAGGTCTTAAGGGTTCGTTCCTTCTGCGCAAATAGAGAAAACGTTTCTGACATCATTGACTCCTTGACTCCGGCCTGTGTGGTCAGACATTAGGACAACAAATCTCTCAAACACAGGCATAGTTTCTTGAACATTCTTCATAGTTTGCTAAGGGATGTAAAAAGTTTAGTGGCTTCTACATAAGAATTCTTGTGTCCCAGAAGGTTCTCTTGTCCTAAGAAAGCTGATGTATGATTGCGTGATAAAAGTTCAACACCTCGATATCGATTTTTCATCTCTTGAGAGCCCTGACGATATTGCTATGCCATGTAAAGAACCAGTTGCGGTAGTTGAACTAGGGTTATGTTCGATGTTATCGCGATGGACACCATGAGACCTACATAAATTTCCAACGATGAATCTTTCCGACGTCGAAACACAGAGTTATAAATCTTATAAGCCGTAATACAGTAAGAGCAGCTTGATTCTGTATGATGTTGCTTGACTGCGCGTCTTAATACTAGCTTCACCTGCCCGGAATGATCATAATTAAACTTCTAAAAGACTGAGGGATGTGAGGGTTCTTGGCAGTTAATTTCAAATGTCCAATGAAACCAGCTTTTTTCCATGTTAAGGGGGTCCCAGTGTACAATATTTGGCTGCTTTTGCAATCTTCATTGCTTCGCTATCGGTTTTTTCTCTCAGTGGCGTTCTGCTAAACAATTTCAGCGTCTTCACTTAAGTCAAGGAGGACTTCGACCATCTCTGTATGGTTTTAAATCTAGAAATTGCTCTTTTATGTGTTTATAATTTGTACTGTGAACGTGCTGTGAAATATCAACCAGCTCCTCTGCTCTAGCCTTGTTGCATTAATTATAGATAGCTTCGAAAACTTGAACACTGAACAATCATTTTGGTTTCTCCATAGAACTAAAAAAAAAAACAGCTCTGTGAGCGCAGTGCCGGCGTAACATATGGGGTCGTGAAACAATCACGGTTTGATTTTTTACTCGATCCTGGTGCTATACTGGAAGTGCATCAAGTAATATAAAAACCAGCACTTAGTTTACCGAGTTGTGATTTGTCTCTAAGGATGCGAGAAATGTCTCATATTCCACCGAGATTAAAAATATAGGTTTTGTGAATCGATTTGAAGCTCACTAACACTGAAGAACAGGCTCGACGGAACGGCCTTTGCATCCGTAGTGCTCCTTTGAGGTAACTTCTTTCTACCGTCATCATCTTTTCATCTCTGTCACTCGCTTTTTTCCTTTCTGTGCTCTCTTTAGTTTATTAAATTGATTTTTACATATTACTGCTTTTTTTCACAAAGTAACTTTGATCTATAAAAGACCGTTGCAAACGGACGCAACTCCAAAGCAACTTTAACGCTGTGCATTGCCGGATAGATAGCCCGAACAGACGAATCAGATTCCGAGTGAAAGAAGACCCAAATGCGAGTGATCTTATTGTGCTCTGTGATGCTGGCTACATACATACAATGCATGCGATGCATGTATAATAACAATCTGGAGATTAAGATTGTGGCCTCCTCTTGTCGCCCGCAGTAAGGTGGTTAAAAATAGAGAGATTAAGATTCACGTTTACCCAAAACGGCAAACGTGAATTTGTACCACGTGACCAGGTTTTTTCCTTAATTGTCGTTAAATGTTTATTACTTTAACTAAAAAATATGTACTTTCACGCCCGTTTTAAACATAAGAATTGTTTTGGGCAGTTTTTACCTGCTTAGTTTCTATTCTGAGAAATTCTTAACTT